TGAAAAAGAACAGACTGCTGATATATGCAACAACATAGATGAGTGTCAAACGCATTCTGCTAAGTGAAATAAATCAAATAAATCAGTCTCAAAGGATGACCTACTCTATATTTCCATTTACATGACCTTCTGGAAAAGGCAAAACTATACAGACAGATAACTAATGAGTGGTTGCCAGGGCTTAGCGACGGGAAAGGGTTGACTATACAGAAGGACATGAGTTGATGTTGGAATTGATGGAATTGTTCTGAATTCTGTTTGTGGTGGTAACATGAATTCATGCACTTTATGTACACCATAAAAGTAAATTTTACTGAACATAAATAAAAAGAACACCAGTATTCTAGATTTATTTGGTTTAAAAATACAAAACCATGGCTGGGCACTGTGGCTCATGCCTGAAATCCCAGCACTTTGGGAGCCAGAAGTGGGCAGATTGCTTGAGCTCAGGAGTTTGACACCAGCCTGGGCAACATGGCAAAACCCAGTCTCTACAAAAAAAATATAAAAATTAGTTGGACGTGATGAGTACGTGCCTGTAGTCCTCGCTTCTTGGGAGGGTGAGGTGGGGGGATTGATTGAGTCTAGAGAGGTTGAGGCTTCAGTGAGCCGAGATCCTGCCACCACACTCCAGCCTGGGCAATGGAGTGAGACCCTGCCTCAAAAACCAAAAACTGAACAAACAAACAAAATCTGTGTGTGTGACTATATGCATATTTTGGTACGTGCAGTGAGGTCAGAGCCAATCTGACTGTTTTCGTAATTACACAGCCAACTTTTCTCAACACCATTTCTTTTTCTTTTCCTTCTTTCTTTTTTTTTTGAGACAGCGTCTTGCTCTGTTGCCAGGCTGGAGTGCACTGGTGCAATCTCAGCTCACTGAAACCTCCCACTCCCTGGTTCAAGCGAGTCTCCTGCCTCAGCCTCCCGAGTAGCTGGGATTATAGGCACGGGCCACCACACCCAGCTAATTTTTGTATTTTTAGTAGAGACAGGATTTCACCATGTTGGCCAGGATGGTTTCGATCTCCTGACCTCATGATCCGCCCTCCTCAGCCTCCCAAAGTGCTGGAATTACAGGCGTGAGCCACCGCGCCCAGCCCTCTTAACACCACTTCTGCTGCTTCTCCGAGAAAACACCAAACGACGGATGACACCGGTGCAGCGGCCCCGCCCGGAGGCCCTGGAGGACCTGGGATGGGGAACCGCCGTGGCTTCCGCGGAGGTTTCGGTAGTGGCATCCGGGGCTGGGGTCCCGGCTGTGGACGGGGTCCGGGCCGAGGCCGCTGAGCTCGCAGAGGCAAGGCCAAGGATAAGGAGTGGATGCCCGTCACCAAGCTGGGCCGCTTGGTCAAGGACATGAAAATCAAGTCCCTGGAGGAGATCTACCTCTTCTCCCTGCCCATTAAGGAATCTGAGATCATTGACTTTTTCTTGGGGGCTTCTCTCGAAGATGAGGTTTTGAAGATTATGCCGGTGCAGAAGCAGACCCGTGCTGGCCAGCCCACCAGGTTCAAGGCCTTTGTTGCTATAGGGGACTACAATGGCCACGTCGGCCTGGGTGTTAAGTGCTCTAAGGAGGTGGCCACCGCCATCCGTGGGGCCATGATCCTGGCCAAACTCTCCATTGTCTCCGTGCGCAGGGGCTGCTGGGGGAACAAGATCGGCAAGCCCCACACCGTCCCTTGCAAGGTGACAGGCCGCTGTGGCTCTGTGCTGGTGCGCCTCATCCCTGCATCCAGGGGCACTGGCATCCTCTCAGCGCCTGTGCCCAAGAAGCTGCTCATGATGGCTGGTATAGATGACTGTTACACCTCAGCCCAGGGCTGCACTGCCACCCTGGGCAACTTCGCCGAGGCCATGTTTGATGCCATCTCTAAGACCTACAGCTACCTGACCCCTGACCTCTGGAAGGAGACTGTGTTTACCAAGTCTCCCTATCAGGAATTCACTGACCACCTTGTCAAGACCCACACCAGAGTCTCCGTGCAGCGGACCCAGGCTCCAGCTGTGGCTACAACATAGGGTTTTTTATACAAGAAAAATAAAGTGAATTAAGCCTGAAAAAAAAATAAGAGAATCAGTTAAAAATATAACCCTGATTGAAAGATATGAAAAATATTTATTTGACTGAACTATATAGTAAAACTAAATAATCTTGCTAAACAATAGAGGAAAAAAGTTGTTTTGATGCTTTATTTACATGGATAAATTCTTCCAGTTTTAAGATTTTTCTTATTCTATTTTTTTCTGAGGCAGAGTGTCACTCTGTCACCCAGGCTGAAGTGCGGTGGCACAATCCCCACTCATTGCAACTTCCACCTTCCAGGTTCAAGTGAGTCTTCTGCCTCAGCCTCCCGAGTAACTGGGATTATAAGTGCTTGCCACCATGCCAGGCTAATTTCTTTTTTTGTATTTTTGGTAGAGACGGGGTTTTACCATGTTTGTCAGGCTGGTCTTGAACTCCTGACCTCAAGTGATCCACCGCCTTGGCCTCCCAAAATACTGGGATTACAGGCATGAGCCACCACACCCGGCTGTCTTATGCTATTTTGTAGCCATGTCCTTTCTTGTAGCTACTTATTGTTGACATTATGACTATTTCCTAGGCATTCTTGTGTTTTCCAAAGGTAGTAAGTTATAGCTAGATTTTGTTTTCCAGCAAAATAATCAAATTGAATTTTGGTCTCTGCCTTTGTATTTCACTTGATTTTAGAGAGTAATCAGGAGGTCCATTTGGCACTGAAAATAAATAAAGGTTCAGAAGGAGGTGCTAGTCGTAGCTGTCTCTCAAATTTCATTTCCCATATGGGTTTCAGAAGGAAATGTTTGCATTTTTACATTTCCTTCTGCTCTGTTCTTGCATGTAGCCTGTGTCTTTAATCAACAGAACAAGATCAGGTTGGTTCAATTACAGGAGGCTTTATTCCTTGCCTACTGTCTGCAAGCTACTTATTGTAAGATTGATTATACAGGGAGATGACTTAATTGAAATGGCTGCATCATCAAGATTGTCATATGTTCATTTAATTGTATACATGCTAAGCAAGAGATCATCAGGACAACGAATCGATCAAAACATTATGGGCAAGGCAGTCAGTGCTGAGGACAAGCATGGACAACATAGAATCTTTACTCTTAAAAGAGTTTAATCTGATCCAATGATAAGACATAAACTCAAGGTAAAGTTATTAGTTATACAGAGTAGTTCATCACATGGACCGTCCGACCATAAAATTAATTTTTATTTGTTTGTTTGCCTATCAGATGATCAAGTCCTCTCAGGGCAGAATTCACATCTTTGAACTTTTGCAATGCTTGGTGGAATATAGTATACATTCAATAGGCCAGAGGCCACCATGTCTGGCTTGCATAGAGATTTAAAAATCATTGTACTGACATTAAAAATTCAATAAAAATTTGCATTTCTGGCTTCTCTTAAGAAAACTGGAAGTTCTAATTGGCACAAGATGACATTTGGCTAGAGCTGAATGAAGGCTGCCTGCTGTCGACGAGGATATGAGCTTATAGAAGATTATCATTTCTTTGTACTCATGTCTCTGTCAAAAACAAGAAAACAGACTGGGCACAGTGGATGATGCCTGTAATCCCAGCACTTCGGAGGCTGAGGCGGGTGAATCACTTGAGGTCAGGAGTTCAAGACCAGCCTGGGCAACGTGGTGAAACCCTGTCTCTACTAAAAATACAAAAATTAGCCAGTGTGGTAGTGTTTGAGTCCGGGAGGCAGAGGTTGCAGTGAGTCGAGATCCATACCACTGTACTCCAGCTAGGGCAACAGAGTGAGACTCCGTCTCAAAAACAAACAAACAAAAAACAACAACAACGACAATGACAAAAAAACAGGAAAACAAAGGATAGGCCAAGAAGACTTTTTTTTTTTTTTTTAAATGGGAGAGAAGTAAGACATATTCAGCTTATTCTGGTAAAAAATATTTCCATATTGGTTTGGAAATGACCATTGCCGAAGTCCCTGTGCACTACCCTGCTGCCCTGAGCACTTACTTCAGTCTATCTTCTCCTTGCCCCCGGTCCAGCTGTACCTGGCTCCAGCACTACAGCCAGGAGGCATCCAACTGTGGAGCCCAGGCTGAAGGCCAGTTGTTAAATATTTTGAACATAACCTCTGGAGAAAAATGTTTCTTTGTGCATAGAAGCATATTCCTACATCTTTTAATATGCAAGCATATGGGTCTGTCAGAAAAAAATGCAACATAAGACACCAATATGAAAGAAGCTACAGCTTTCTTAACATTTTCATGATACCTGCCTGGCCTATATAGGGATGCAAACTCATGATTCCTAAAATAGCTCAGTGCTTAATTGAATTGAGTAAGTGCCCTAGGAGCTCAGTGGAGGCAGTGATCA